GAAGTGATTCTTCTGCTGTACTCAGTGCTGGTGAGACTGCAGCTGGAGTACTGCATCTGGTTCTGGGTGCTGCACTTCAACAAAGACGTGGATAAGCTTGAGAGAGTCCAGAGAAAAGCCACCCATATATTCAGAGACTTGCAAGGCAAGCCATACGAGGAAAGGCTGAGGGACGTGGGCCTCTTCAGCCAAGAAGAGAGAAGGCTGAGAGGGGACATGGTAGCAGGTTACTGCTACATCAGGGGAATACATCAAGGGCTTGGTGAAAAATTGTTCACTAGGGCTCCCTTGGGGAAAGCCAAGAATAATGGCCACAAACTCCTGGAAGACCGTTTCAGGCTTAACACTAGGAAAAACTTCTTCACAGTTGGGGTGTCCAGACTGTGGAATAAACTCCCTCCGGAGTTGGTGCAATCACCTACCCTGGAAATCTTCAAGAAGAGACTGGACAGTCACCTTGTTCAGGTTACCTGACTGCAGTTGTCTTTCCTGCTTAGCGCAGGAGGGCTGGACCTGATGATCTTGCGAGGTCCCGTCCAGCCCCTTACAATCTATGGATCTATTAATCATTTTAATGGTTTATTCCTGAATCACCCCTTCCCAACACAGTCTAACACAATTTCTTTGTATTGTTGTTTCATGTCTTGAATGGCTTAGTCAGGACAACAGTTGGAAAGAAGGCTTATTTCCCTGACATGGGAAAAGTTTGTATGGTTTTGTCCATGGTGAAGGAGACTATATTTATAGTGGGCTTGTAGGCAACTGTTCTCGTTTCAAGAATTAAGAATGACAGATAAGGAATCATATGACTCCAGGTCTGTTCTGGCAGACACAGGTATGGTCCCTGTAGGCCAGGCCTCACTAAGAATTGCCTTGGTTCCAGGGAGCCACAACCACCTTGTTTGTAGAGGCCAGAATAGGCCCAGAAGTGAATGGTATTGACTGGGGAAGGAATGAAAGCAAAGAAGATGTTTCAGTGTATCCGTGTTTCAGCCTGCTCTGGGACAGCTTCTAAAGGGACCATAGTATTTTTAAACCTGTGCTAACCTAAGAGAACTCTTAGAGGAGGTCAGCAATTAAAACTCTTGGTCTGTTTGTACCTGCACCAGGGGCACATTTGACCTGGCAAGGATCTAAATACTCTTTGGCTATTGCAGTCTATGACTGTTTTGTGCTATAAAAATGTAAAGTAGTTGATCTTTGCCTAGGTGACACTAACTCTGCTTTTTGCCTGTTTGTAGGCTGAACAGGGTTGTTCACACATACCAGACTTGAAAAAAAGCAGTCATTGTGCTCAAGCAAACTTCTACTTTGGCCAGCAGTCATACCTCACGCCTCCAGCATAGCACAAGGGCCATGTGCAGGCCTGTTTTGTGATCCTATGGAATTCACCACCACTTTCCCATTCAAATGAGGAAGTTGTGGGAAAGTTGATGGTGTAAATGACAGGATCTTGAAAGAGCTCTTCTGCGGCTGGAGCTGTGATTGCCCCACCGAAATATTTTGACAGATGGAGAAATCTTTTGAAATAAATAGAAAAATTTCCCAGGGTAAAAATTTTCTTTTAAAGCTTTTGGAACGCCTCCATTTACTTCAGACTTGTTGGGCTGTTGAGGATCCCTTGACAGCTGTGGGTTCTGGAAAGTGTCTCCTTGACTGCCTGCCCAAGACCCCCCTTTCCCCAGTAGCCATGGACCTCACTCCCTCTTGAAAATGCTTCTGGGAATATGGGATCTGGAGTGTGTTTGAAACCGATGAGATAAAGAAAAACAACTATAAAACTTTATGCTATAAACACTTCTGAGGCTAATATTACATACAGCACAGTCAACCTTATCCATATAAATCCATGAGCTGCTAATTCATTGAACAGTTAATTGCTCTTTAGTTCCTGATATTTTAAAGAAAATGAGTTAACACTGGCCATTCATTTAGATAAAACTGTGAAAAGTATAACTGTGTTTTTTTTAAGGCATTTTTCATTGCTAATGTGAAATCAATGTTAGCTGTGTAGTGTCTGGTTTTAAATATGTATGTTAAATTTAAAGTTCTGTGGTTTCTGTATGTTTCAGATTCATTGTCTGGTCCATAATGTTTTCTATGATTAATATATATTTTTGTGGAGAGGTTAATGAATTATTTAAAACAGGAAGTGTTGTGGATTTACCTATGTATCTTGGGGTGTAGGTACTAGTTACTTAGGCTTTCCTTTGATTTATAGGCTTCTGCTCCATCTACTCTGAGACTGACTTCCTTTACAATGCTTTTGTTACCCTTGATTAATTGATTTAGGTGGGATATTGCTGCATTTGCTGATTCCATCTTTTATAACTGAAGTAATTTTTTCATTATTTTTTCCTGAGTCACTACAGTTGTAAAATTTAAGAAGTTTAACCTAGCTAGATAAGATGAGCTAAATGAGATGAACCCAATCAGTTCCCCAGTTTTTCTGGGGGACTAGGGAAAATGTGGATAGTGAAGGGACAGGATGGACTGAGTAAGGCTGAGAAAAATCTAGAGGGGAGCCCAACACACAGAGGCCTTTTAGTTTTGTAGAATGGGTGATATATATTCAGGAGGAAGATTCTTGAGGTCTGTTTTTATTATTTATTGTCTTTTGTTACAGAAGCAGTTCTTAAATGCATTTTTTTTGCTTAGAGTTGGAGATAAGTACCATGGAACTTCAAAAACCATTTTCATCCTCCCTTCAGATTTTGCTGTGATTTTTATGTTCAAAATGGTTAGCAGTAGGACAGTAGGTTCTTAGAGGAGCAACTCTATTTTGGGGCATTATATAGCTCCAAGTATTAAGCTCACAAAACAATGGTATTTAATAAGCACACTTAGCCTTGTAAACTAGTAGCCAACCTCTGGAAAACATTGCTATATCGATTAATAAGACACTGTTTGTGGACAGATGGCAACAGTGCATAGGGCAGCCCCAATTGGCTGACCTAGGCTGCCCATGGTTACCCTGTGTTTCCCTGCAGGACAATGTGGGGATTGTGAACAGGATGCATTCTGCTGCCTGCTGGAGCAGCAGAGTCCAGTGAGCAGCACACTGTCTTCCTAAAGGGGGTGGGAGGGGAAGCTGGAGGACTATGTTCTCTTCTGAGAGAAGCCACAGCATGTGCAGACATTCACTGTCCCAGCAGGAAGTCTTCTGGGACTGATTTAACCCTGGTTGTCCCAGGGTATGATTCTCCTGGAGCAGCTATTTTCACACTGGCAGAAAAAGTCTGAACATATGTATGCTCTTGATTTCTTCTCCCAAGGCAAACTGAATGTCTGTGAGGCTTTAGAATCTCAGGAAAACTGAATGTCTGTATAAGGCCCTAGAATCCTCAAAACATGTACTAGAAAAATCAAGTCATTTCAATCACTTCAGGAAATAAACTGGTTTCTTCCTCCATTTTTGTGGTACTTCCAGCTTGGTAAAGGGTAGAAAGGAAATCTGAAATTTATGGCATGATAATGTTATTGAGTCTATATGTTTTTGTACAAATGTCTGGATACAGACAAATGTATATTTGTAGCTGCTTAAAGGTTAGGGACAGAAGTTACACACAAACTGGTTTAAGTGATCAGAAACTGGTTTAAACCTGTAACAGAATAGAAGTTCAGTGCACATAAACAAGTTTCAAAATGGCTGAAACTGGTTTAAGATAAACTTTGTTGAATATAGTATCAAACTTAACTGATTTAGGTCAAACCAGTTTATGAAACGTCTGTCCCAGACCCCTTCCTGGTTCAAGTTAAATCAGAGTCCCCCAGCATTTTGCAGCTGGGCTGTGTTCTGTGCTCCAGAGAGCAGGGATGGCCCTGTCCCTCTACTCCCTAGCTGGAGCAGTGAGGGCTGGCTTACTGCTCCCCACTCCCCAGGCAAGCCCCTGCTGGGGTCTGGGGCCAGGGTAGGGGGTTAAACTTCCCTTCCCCCAAGTACAGAGCTATCCTGCTCCCCTTACTTAGTGCTGGCTGTGAGTGTGGACTACAAATCCCAGAGACACCTGAAAGCAGGAAGAGGAAGGGATGACAAACCCTGCAGAGTCTTGCTGCTGTGATTCTGGACTGCAAATCCTAGAGACCACAGGGACAGCAGGAAGAGGAAGTGAACACACAGCCTGTGCTGGCTACGTGCTAGAGAGCTGTGCTCTAGTGCCCCCTGGCTTCTGGTTTGAGCCACTGCAGGCATGTGCCTGCATTTCCTGAATCAAAAGTGAATGTTTGTTTATTTGCTTATTGGTTCAATCTTTGCAGCTTAGATTAACCTGCAGTCTGAATCAATTCAGCCTCAGGCATTTTGACTGTGTACTTAGCCTGTAAGGAAGGGGGACCTGGAAAGCTGTTGGCTGTTATGTCTGCATGATCCTACGAGTATAGAAAACCACTCCAGTTTTAACCCTGCTTCACCCAGGGTCACTGTTAAAGTGATTTATGTTGTTGTTGCACCAGGCTTATGGTAAGGTACTAATTATAACACACCTGAGCAACAGCTTTCCATCCCATTTTGAAGCTAGTGCATATGCTTGCCCCTACTATCAAATAACAGTCCTGATTCTATTTCTTTATAAAATCAACCATAAACGACGTGTGCCGCTGGCATCTGGGGGGGCACAGCTGCGCTGGTGGCAGCAGGAGTGTGGTGGCGGGAGCACGGCAGCGATAAGTGTGGCGCTCCCGCAGACACCACTGGCGCTGTTGGCAGCGGGGGGGAGGGGGGTGGTGACCACCTGCAGGCACCGCCGGTGGTGTCAGCAGCAGCTAACAGCAATCACAGACTGCCCGCAGGCACCACTGACAATGTTGGCAGTGCCTTTTCGTAGGCGATGCACTGCCACACTCGGGGTGCATGTGCACCCCCTATGCGTCGCCCCTGAAGTCAACAACAAAACACCCATTGACTTCAGTGACCATAAGCTTGGGGCCAGTATTTTGCTACACTTAATAGATTCCAAAAGAATAAAAAGTGGCCTTATTTTTCATGTACTTGTTTATTGTAGGTGGGAACATAATCCTTGGACTGCATGTTCTGTTTCCTGTGGAGGTGGAATTCAGAGGAGAAGCTTTGTTTGTGTGGAAGAGACCATACATGGAGAGATATTACAGGTTGAGGAATGGAAATGCATGTATGCCCCCAAACCTAAGGTCATTCAAACATGCAACCTATTTGATTGCCCCAAGTGGGTAGCTATGGAATGGTCTCAGGTAAGTTGAAAAGTAACTTGGACCTATTTTGAAGGCATCTTCTAATTTTGTGAAACAATACATATAATCATAAACTCAGTTACCGGAAAAAAAAATCAGAGACACATTTGTAACCATGAAGTTAGATATATATGTATAGTAAAATGCATGGTTGGTTATTTGCATGTGTAGAGTTGCCCCTAAAGTTTTATATAGATAAAAAATTAGAACCAGAGCTGACACTCTTTTGAAAATTAGGTTTGTTGTCTCCTGCTTCTTGATAGATATAATCCTTCACTGCAGTTAATAACCAAAGCATGGCTGTCTTGGGACTGAGGGGTATCTGTAAGTTTGATTTTCCAGCCTTCCTCTTACTTTTTATTATAATAACAAGAATACAGAGCCAATTTATCTTGGCTCTGGTTATCTGATATGGTCATATAGCTCAATACTTCTATGTTTCATTAGTTTATCCAAATGAAATTACTGAAATACTGTGAGAGGAACAATTTTCATGGTGTTTCTGACTCCACCTTAAAACTAAAATTATGAAACAATGTGAGAGGGTCTATTATATCTAGATTTCCAATTCCATTTCAGATTGTAGTCATGTAGATAAGCCTTATAGAATCCAGGGTGGCCTCCTTTCTCCCTAGTCTTTGATGTTGGTGCATCATTCACCTTTATTAGTAATATCTCATTTGCTTACATAGTGAGATAGTTGTATTGTCTCTCTTAGTGCACAGTGACATGTGGCCAAGGGTTACGTTACCGAGTAGTACTGTGTATTGACCATCGTGGACAGCACGTCGGCGGCTGTAATCCACAACTTAAACTGCACATAAAAGAAGAGTGTATTGTGCCAATACCATGTTACAAGCCAAGAGGTAACTGGAATTTTGTCAGAGTCTGTTATTGTTTTACATTTTTGTTAACGGAATTAAAAAGTCCCTGGTAGCCTCTTCCAGAAATGCCAGAAGCTGGAATTTGCTAGGACTCATTCCAATCTTGTCAAAAGGAAATGCTGTAGTTATTAGTGCTAAGAAAGGTGTCCTGCTGATAGTTCTTGCTGATAACATGGATACAGAATAATGAAAATAGCAACCTAATTAAATTAAAATATGTAATTTAGTTGAACTGGAAAATCTAGAAGCAGTACGTTAAGAGCTGGGGGAATTGTTCAACAACCAATAATGTATTTTGAAAGCTTGTGGTATGTATAACCAAGGCCCTTCTTTCCTTGTTTCCTCAGGAATTGCAATGAAATTCTCAATTCACCACAGAAATTCCTGAATAGCAGCCATACTGATTTCCTTCCCTTCTCTCTTTCCACTTTTTGTTTTTAAAAAAATACCCTTAATGACATGGGTTACAAAATGTATTTTTAAAAGAATGAATGAAGGGATAAACTAGATGACTGGAAGAAAAAAGGAAAAAAGCAAAAGGAAAGAGATTAAAAGCTGTACCTCCTATTCTGTTCTTGTCTCATCTATATTAGAAATAGATATTCTTCTCTGTCCCTCTGAAATTTGCAGTTGGAGATGCTCGTTGCCTTTTCATTTGAAAGGTTTTACTGGGAGTATTCACAGCTCACCATTATCATTTGAACAGTAAAAATGAAAGTCAGATGTAGATAAGTGCTGTTGAAATCCAGTGAGTCACTTAAAGGATGTTTTGAGGTTTCAGGAAGTTCCTGAGGCATATTGCCATCCAGAATGCAATGCCACAGAATCTCTAGAACCTCGAGCAGATGTTGGCCCTGATATATTCTGGAATTTTAGGAGATCTACATAGAATAGGAGGGGTAGATTCTCAGCTGGTGTAAACCATCATAGCTTCATTAATATAAGTGGAGCTATGCTGCTGACAATCTGGCTCAAGGAAAAGAACTCTCTACAAAGGTACTGTATGTCTACACAGAGCAAGAGGAGCTTAGATACAATTCTTTGCAATTTGATTGTTTTAAGTAAATTGAGAGGATTGAATAGCTAAGGTACTCAGTAAATAGTGTGTTTGACAACCAGCTCTTTAGTTCAAATCCCTCTTATATGCACAATAAAATGAACACATTTATTAGGATGGTGAACCTTTTCACTCCTCTTCAAGCCCTTTACGGGGAGTTGGTAATATCAGCCCATTCCCTCAGAAGGTGGGTCTCTTGAAGGCCCAAAACTGTACATGGTAGTCCAGGTGAGGCTTCACCAGTGCTAAACAGAGTGGAGAATCACTTCTTCTGTTTTGCAAGTGACGCTGCTGTTGATACAACCCAGAGACAAAATAAAACATTGCCAAGATTGCCCTTGGCGTAGCTTGCACACCACTTGACGAGAGACCTCTACTTATCATATGATGTTTTAAATTCTCATAAATTTGATGGAATGAATTATTATATATTTCTCCCTACCAGAAAAAAATCCTGTAGAGGCTAAACTACCATGGTTAAAACAAGCACAAGAAATGGAGGAGACCAGAACCATATCAGAAGAGCCAACGTAAGTTCTTTGTTTCTTGGGTGGGAAAAAATGGCTTGAAAGTCTTATTGTCTTTCAAATTTATCTGGTATTTGACCCTCTTACCTTGGTTTTGGACAGTTATTCCTAGTCTTACACCTCAACAGCCCAGATGTGTCCTGAGTCATACAGAATATGTGGACTGGGCCAGTGGCTCTGTTAATATGCTCTTATATCAATGGAGCCATGCCAAAGGACTTCAATTAAGCCTTAAGACAGCTATTGTGGGAGAATCCTCAGCTGATGTAAAGCAAATGTAGTCTATTTTCTGCCACTGCTTCTCTTTTTCTCTGTGATGTAGAGGAGCATTTTCAGGGGAAGATTAAGGGCTGAAGTGTGCAGAGAAAGGGAAAAATGCACATCTCTGTGCACATACATGCACACCCCCCACAAAAAATATATTGATCGATCAATCTATATCCCACACCAGCCTAATACATTTGGGGGAATTGTTTTAAAGTAACTCAAAAGATGTTATCCAGGTTGTGCTCCTTATATCCACTCTCCTATTGGGAGTTAATATCTCTGTTAAAAAAACCCGGATCTGCAGAATAACTTCTACATAGAGTGTTAGTGGGCACTGCTTAACTATTTTCTATATACCATATATAATAAGTGTGTAAGACAGGGAAAGAGAGCTTGCATATCTAAATCTCATATATAAACTCTTCAAGGTTTCAAAGGTTTCATAGACATTAGGACTGGAAGGGATCTTGGAAGATCATCGAGTCCAGCCCCCTGCCCAGGGGCAGGAAGTTAGCAGGGTTCATAGGATCCCAGCAAGATAAACATCCAAATTTCTCTTGAAGGCATTCAAAGTAGGTGCTTTAACCACCTCCAGTGGCAAGCTATTCCAGACCTTGGGGGCTTGGACAGTAAAGAACTTCTTCCTTATGTCCAGCCTGAAAGGGTCTTGGAGGAGTTTGTGACCATTCGACCTTGTCATCCCTTGGGGCACTCTGGTGAACAAACGTTCCCCAAGATCCTGGTGAGTACCTCTGATAAACTTATAGGCAGCCATCAGATCAGCCTGTGCTTTTCCAGGCTGAAGAGTCCCATAGCTCAGCCTCTCATCATAAGGTCTGTTTTCCTGATCTCTGATGATGCACATGGCTCTTCTCTGGACTTTCTCAAGTTTCTCCACATCCTTTTTGAATTGTGGAGCCCATAACTGGATGCAGTACTTCAGCTGTGGCCTCACTAAGGCCGAGTACAATGGGAGAATGATGTCCTGGGATTTGCTTGAGAAGCATCTATGGATGCAAGCCAGCGTTTTGCTTGCTTTACTAGCAGCAACATGACATCAAAGGCTCATATTCATCTTGTGGTCAATCATGGCCCCAAGTCCCTTTCATCCGTAGTGTTAGCCAGCGTAGCACTGCCAAGCCTATAAGCATACTGTGGGTTTTTCTTCCCAAGGTGGAGAACCTTGCATTTTTCGGTGTTAAACACCATCAGGTTCTTGTCCACCCATTTCCTGAGCCTATCAAGGTCAGCCTGGATCTCCCTCCTGTCCTCAGGTGTGGATGCTTTACCCCAAAGTTTGGTGTCATCGGCAAACTTGGCCAGTCCACGTCTGACTCCAATGTCCACATCATTAATGAAGATGTTGAAAAATATAGGATCCAAGGACAGAGCCTTGAAGGACCCCACTGGTCACAGCACACCATGACGATTGACTTCCGTCAACCACCACCCTCTGGGCCCGACCACGGAGCCAATTCCCCAGCCAGCGGATCATAGTGGACCCAAGGCTGCAGTTGGTGATCATGGGCTACCAGATTGAAGGTTTTTTTAAAGGCAAGATATAAGACATCAATCTCCTCTCCCTTGTCCAGGTGATAGGTCACCTGGTCGTAAAAGGAAATAAGATTGGTCAAACAAGGCCTACCCACAACAAACCCATTCTGGGTATCCCTCAGGATGTTGCCATCAGCCAGTCTATTAATGGTCTCTTTGATAATCTTTTCCAAGACCTTCCTGAGGTCGGACTGATGGGCCTGTAGTTTGTCGGATCCACTTTCCTCACTTCCTTGAAGATAGGCACCATGTTGGCCTTCTTCCAGTCTTCGGGCACTACACCAGAGCACCAGGAGCTCTCAAAGATCCGTGCCAGAGGCTGGGCTATGATGCTAGCCAGATCCCTGAGTACCCTGGGGTGTAGACTGTCAGGGCCGGCTGACTTGAAGGTGTCCAGCCTCTCAAGGTGTTCCTTCACAAGGTCAACAGTGATGGAGGGTAAGGAATCTCCCTCACCCGGGCTTCCCTGTCCCATAATGGGCAGGGGCGTCCCATGGGCCTGGTGAAAGACCGATGTAAAGTACCCATTTAGCAAGTTGGCTTTTTCCTGGGCATCAGTTGTCAGCTGTCCCATCTGGTTTAGCAGGGATCCAATGTTGTCCTTGCTTTTCCTCCAGCTCCCCACATATCTAAAAAAGGACTTTTTATTGTCCTTGATACATGTAGCCAGTTGGAGTTCTGTCGCAGCCTTGGCTTTCCTGGTTCGCTTCCTGCAAGCCCAGACCAGTGCGGAGTATTCCTCCTTGGTGGTGGATCCCATCCTCCATCCTTTGTAGGTCTTTCTTTTTAGGTGCAGGAGGTCTGCTAGTTCTCTGCAGAGCCAAGGGGGCTGCTGTGCCCTTTTTCTGCCTTTCCTCTGAGACAGAGGAGACTTTGCACATCTAGGATTGCTCCCTTGAGGAGCAACCACTCTTCCTGAACTCCCCTGCCCTTTGGGTCATGGTCCATTAGGGCCTCACCGACAAGCCTCCTGAACTTGTCAAAGTCAGCTTTCGTGAAGTCGAGGACTTCTGTATTGCTGACTGACTTGCCAACTTTATGGTGGATGGTGAAGGTGATCAGCTCATGATCGCCATCACCCAGCTTCCCTTCGATTGTTAGGTCGCTGATTAGGTTGCCCCCAGTTGTCAGTACCAGGTCGAGCAGTGCTTTACCTCTCATTGGCCTGTAGACTTCTTGTGTCAGATAGAGCTCATCCACGTACATGAGGAAGCTTTGCGACTGTTCGGATTTGGCTGAGCTCTCTTCCCACAAGATGTCTGGGTAGTTGAAGTCTCCCATGACAACCATGGACTGGGATCGTGTGGCCTCAGCTAATTCCCTGGCGGACTCCTGGTCAAGCTCTTGATTCTGGGTGGGAGGTCTATAGTAGACTCTCACCATTGTGTCCCCTGTGTCATGTTCCCAATGGATTTTAACCCAGAGGGTCTCCAGTCATCCACCCTGGGTGCCAATGTCAGCTTGCAGAGATGCTTAGCTCTCCTTGACATAGAGAGCTACACCCCCTCCCCTTTTATCCACTTGCTCTCTTCTGTACAGGGTATAGCCTTCTATACCCATGGTCCAGTCATGGGTGGAGTCCCACCAGGTCTCTGTTATCCCTATGACATCGTAATTATTTGTGTTAAGCAGGAGAACAAGTTCCTCCTGCTTATTCCCCAAGCTCCTGGTATTTGTGTACAGGGAGGCAAGTGTCCTCTTGGGGGCTCTTGCCTTTTCCACAGATTGTACCAGGGCTGGGGCAGGGGTGGGCTCCCTTAAGTGCCTTGGCCAGCTGGCTTTGCAAGGGTTGCTCAGTGGGCCAGCAGTGGCAGTAGTCCTCCCGCCCCCTGGCGAGTTTAGTTTAAAGCCTGGTGGAGCAGGTCAGCCAGTCTGGCTGAGAAGAGCTTCCTCCCCAGCGGAGAGATGTGGAGGCCGTCTCTTCCCAGCAGCTTGCTGCCTCTCTCACCAAAGAGCGGACTGTGGTCATGGAAGCCGAAGCCTTCCCAGTGACACCAGTGCCACAGTCTTTGGTTCACTACATCGATCCTCCTCAGCCTATAGCCCGAAACCAAGAGGATCGAGGAAAACACCACCTGCTCCCTCAACCCCTTAAGCCCCACTCCCAAATCCCTGTAGCGCTTCATGACCCAGCTGGGAGCGCTCCAAGCCATGTCATTTGTGCCCACATGGGTAAGGAGCATAGGGTAGTGGTCAGTGGGCTGGAGGAGCTCAGGGATCCTCTCCACATTGTCTCGGATACGGGCTCCCAGGAAGCAGCAGACTTCCTGGGCTAAGGGGTCAGGGAGGCAGATTACTCCCTCAGTCCCCCTCAGGATAGAGTCTCCCACGACAAACACTTTGCGTTTTGTCTTATGGAGTGCGGGGGTGGTAGCTACAGTTGAGCCTCTGTTACCTGCAGGAGCTGGCAGCTTGGCAGGCTCTGCTGGCGCTGCAAGAGGTTCATACTTGTTGCAAAGCTCCAGTGGGGCAGGGACCTTGGTGCAGCAGGCCTTGGGGCCCTTGACCACTTTGGTCCATCCCCTTGGCTGGACAGAATAGGAGGTCCTGGAGTTCTCCCTTGTCGTGGAAGGAGACCTTGGTCTACACTCTGCCTCCAGGGGGTGAAGGGCCTGGCAGTAGGAGTCTGTCTCCCGCTTACCATCCCTGATGGCACGCGGTCTCTGGACTGTGGCCCGGAGCTCCTCCAGCTGGTGCTCCAGAGACACTCTAAAAGGGAGCAGACCTCACAAGGGAAGGTGGCTGTGCTCCCGGACCCCAGGGCCTGAAAAAGTGCCAGGCAGCCCCCGCAGCCAAGAGCCAGGGGCTCTGTCTGCGTGGAGCCCAGAATCATGGGCTTCGTCTGGGTGGAGGCCTTTGAGGTGCCAGAGTGGGGGGCCGCAGACCCTGAGGGGACCCTCAGGTTGTGGTGCGTGCCCATCTGCATGGTGCCGCTGGGAGGCTGGCTGCAGCTGGGACTGCCTTCCCTAGGGCACACAGGCAGGGCCTTGGGCCGTCCCACTCACCCTCCTCCGCAAACTCCGCGCTAACTCATGTGCCGGGCAGACAGGTGCGCCTGTTTGTGCGGCCTGCTAGCAAGGCTCCAGTCGCATGGCTCCTTGAGGGCTGGGCCAAGTAGGAGCAGGGGCAGGGGGAGACCCTCCTCAGCCCCACTCAGCCGCCTCCTCTCCACTGCCTGGGTG